ATTTTCCTACCCTTACCAAAATATTGACCTTCTGGCAACATCTTCTGGCTTTATTGCCGCAATATTGCAGCAACATTCTGGCAATACATTGCCGCAATATTGCGGCTATATCGTTTTTCATATGTAAATTAGTTTTGCGGCAATATTGCCAGAAAGGGGTTGCGGCAATATTGCTGCAAATCATGACCAAAATATTGATCTTCTGGCAACATCTTCCGGCATTATTGCCGCAATATTGCGGCTATATCATTTTTCGTATGTTAATTAGTTTTGCGGCAATATTGCCAGAAAGGGGTTGCGGCAATATTGCTGCAAATCATGACCAAAATATTTTTCTTCTGGCAACATCTTCCGGCATTATTGCCGCAATATTGCGGCAATATCGTTTTTCGTATGTAAGTTAGATATAAATTTTTATTTAATAGAAATATAATGATCGTTGTTGCAGCTAGCGGTGATATTTCATTTTTTCTGGCAGTATTGCCAGAATGTCACCAGAAGTTGTTGCCGCTAGCGGTGATATTTCACAGAGTAACCCAAAAAGCTTGTTTCTGGTGACAAAAATGTGTTGCTGCAATGTTGCCGCAATATAGCGGCAATATTGCTGCAATAATTTTACTTTGGTAAGGGTATATATTTCTATGTAAAACTTTGGTCGGCCATTGTGGCCCTGCCCTTCCCCCGGGGGTCATGATTTGAAAAAACTTGAATCTACGCTACCTGAGGATGCTTCCATATAAATATGATAAATTCTGGCTTGGCTGTTCTTGAGAAGAAGATTTTTAAAGAATTTTCCTACATATTTCCATGTAAAACTTTGGTCGACCATTGTGGCCCAGCCCTACCCCCAGGGGTCATGATTTGAACAAACTTGAATCTACACTACCTGAGGATGCTTCCATATAAATATGATCAATTCTGGCTTGGCTATTCTTGAGAAGAAGATTTTAAAAGAATTTTCCTATATATTTCTCTGTAAAACTTTGGTCGGCCATTGTGGCCCCGCCCTACCCTAGGGGTCATGATTTGAACAAACTTGAATCTACACTACCTGAGGATGCTTCCACATAAATATGATCAATTCTGGCTTGGCTATTCTTGAGAAGAAGATTTTTGAAGAATTTTCCAATATATTTCTATGTAAAACTTTGGTCGGCCATTGTGGCCCCGCCCTACCCCCGGGGGTTATGATTTGAACAAACTTGAATCTACATTACCTGAGAATGCTTCGATTAATAAATATGATCAATTCTGGCTTGGCTATTCTTGAGAAGTTTTTTGAAGAATTTTCCTATATATTTCTCTGTAAAACTTAAATTTGGTCGGCCATTGTGGCCCCGCCCTACCCCCGGGGGTCATGATTTGAACAAATTTAAATCTACACTACCTGAGGATGCTTCCATATAAATATGATAAATTCTGGCTTGACTATTCTTGAGAAGAAGATTTTAAAAGAATTTTCCTATATATTTCTCTGTAAACCTTTGGTCGGCCATTGTGGCCCCGCCCTACCCCCGGGGTCATGATTTGAACAAACTTGAATTTACACTACCTGAGAATGCTTCCATATAAATATGATCAATTCTGGCTTGGCTATATTCTTGAGAAGAAGATTTTTAAAGATTTTTCCTATATATTTCTATGTAAAAATTTTGTCGGCCATTGTGGCCCCGCCCTACCCCCGGGAGTCATGATTTGAATAAACTTGAATCCACACTACCTGAGGATGTTTCCCCATAAGTTTCATTTTTCCTGGCACAGTGGTTCTTAAGAAGATTTTTAAAACATACCACCAAATTTTTATTAATTCCCAATTATCTCCCCTTGAATGAGGGCGTGGCCCTTCATTTGAACAAACTTGAATCCCTTTCACCCAAGGATGCTTTGTGGCACATTTGATTGAAATTGGCCCAGCAGTTCTTGAGAAGAAGTCGAAAATGTGAAAAGTTTAAAGACAGACAGATGGACGCCGGACAAAATGTGATCAGAAATGCTCACTTGAGCCTTTGGCTCAGGTGAGCTAAAAAGGAAAGGCTGTTGGAATTGACCAGATAAATGCAGAGCTCCTCAAGGCCGAAGAATATTGGACACCTACCATCTTGACAAACAGCTACACAGACATAGCAGATCCTCTACTGCAAAAAGAACAGACAGGTTTTATAAAGGGAAGGTCATGTGACGACAAGGTATTCTCTCTCAGACAAATATTAGAGCAGAATTATGAATGGAACCCTCCACTTTACATCAACTTTATTGACTTTACAAAAACTTTTGACAGTGTTAATCGCTATACGAAAAAAAATCTCAGTCATTATGGAATCCCAGATACAATCATCTCCATCATTAAGATATGCTGCACACAGATTTTAATGCCAGAGTTACATGTATCTGTGAAACAAACCTATCAGAGGAGTTACATGTGTAAAATTGACGACTGATGTAAAACAGGAATGTCTGCTCTCCCCTCTTCTCTTCACATTCTGCATCGACTGAATCATATGCGAGCTAGAAACCACCAAGAATAAAGGACGGAAATTCCTTGGGCTATGACAGAGATGCTTAGAGATCTAGAATTTGCAGACGACGTAGCACTGCTATCACACCGACATTGAGACATGCAAAAAACCCAACAACAACCAAGTAGCAGAAACAGCAAGGAAGATTGGCCTGAAAATTGACTAACAACACCAAGACTAAGATCATGAAGGTCAATATACTAAATCAGACAAGCACGTACATCACCCTAATATAAACTAGAACTGTCCAAACGGGACAAAATACCCCCCGCTGGGTTTTTCAGAAGTAAGTTTTTCCATAATAAAGATATGTATCAAACACGAATTATGAAATTTTTCTTCCAGTGACCTTGAACTTCCCCAAATTTCCTTGGGTCAAGGTCATGGCACACCCTTCTGTCATGGGCAATCTTTGTGTGAAATGAGAACCTACCAAGTTTATCCATAAAAGATATGTATCAAACATGAATTTTGAAAATTTTCTTCCAGTGACCTTGAACTTCCCCAAATGACCTTGAGTCAAGGTCATGACACACCCTTGGGTCATGGGCAATCTTTGTGTGAAATGAGAACCTACCAAGTTTATCCATAAGAAAGATATGGACCGGACACGAATTATGAAATTTTTCTTCCAGTGACCTTGAACTTCCCCAAATGACCTTGGGTCAAGGTCATGACATACCCTTAGGTCATGAGCAATCTTAGTGTAGAGTAGTAGATTCTAATGTCCCTCTGTAAGAAGATATAGACCGGACATGATTGCACAGACAGACGGACAGCTAGACAGTCACAGCTAGACGGTCAGACGGACAGATAGACAGACGGACAAGGTGATTCCTATATACCCCCCCCAAACTTCGTTTGCGGGGGGTATAATGATAAATTAGAAAAGGTCACAAAATTTGTCTATCTACGAAGCAAGATCACCACAAATGTAGGCAGGTAGCAACGGGAGAGTGGGGGGATGGGGTGGGGGGTGGGGGGGTTTAGGAGGAGGCTCCCCACTTTTTTTCCAAACTTAAATTTTACTATTGAAAATGTTCAATGAAATGCTCACGGGTTAACACCCCCCTTTTTGTTAGAGAAAATTGATATAAGGGTAATGAAGTGTTGTATGAAGAAAATTTGGCACAGAAAGATGTCGTTATTGAAAAAAAAAGTTGGCCTCTCAAAATAATGATCTTCAAGAGCAACATGCTCGGGGTCCTCCCATATGGTGCTGAAGCATGGAAAATTACAAAAAAACATTTCAAACAAGCTAGATGCCTTCCAGACAATTGTTGCCTTCGCAGAATATTATAACATCTTCTGGCTTAATACCATCTCAAAGGAAGAGCTGTACAAAGAGACTAACATCATCCCTCTATCTCAAGTTCTAAATTAAAGAAAAGAAAAAGGCTATGGAAAGGACATATTATACTTAGTAATTACGTTATATGCACCCAACCTCTATCCCAATCTCAAGGGTTGGATTGGGATGGACACCAACTGTGAAGAGAAAAGGGGAAGCCAAAAGAGACATGAAGATCTCTAGAGAAATAAAAAAAAAACAACTGGACATTGGGGACACAGACCAACATGAAAGTCTCTGGTGACGGCCTAGCTTATGTGCTAGCCAAGACGAAGGGGGCCATTTAGTAAGTAAGTCATTCAGTTGAAAATGGTGTCACAGAATTGGTTGGCTTTAATACATTAAAGTACTACAGTAACGAATATGTTTGTGGTTTAATGTCCCTTCCGAGAAATTTTCACTCGTATCATTATGGAGACGCCAGTGAAGAGCTGTAAATGGTGTCATATTCTAGCTGCTACTAGGCACTCAAACAGGGCCATTGAGCAGTGAGGAACCTTTTAGGTGCCATCACCAAATCATACAGTTTATATGACAAGTGATCTCGAATTAATATTTCTCTATTAAAAATTAGAACTGGCCAATATAAACAATGTCATCCAATGGATTTTTCAGAAAGAATACAAGTCAAATTTTCCTTTGGATCTAGAGAGAGTTCTACAATGTAATTTAAGGAATCAGTCTAGTTAGTAGAGTATGCCATGGCATAAACGATAACGTCGTGGGATACTACGTGTAGTAATTTGCATAATGGGCGTAGCCCGTTAGGCATAAATTGTCCCACGTTTTCAACTAATTCAATAGTCCCACACAAAGACAGCAGCACAAGATTTACATGCATATTAGACCCCCTTAGTGCCTGGTCTATCACTTGGCGAAATTTGTATTCTAGTAGAATGATTAGGAAATTAACTCAATTATCTTTCTCAGAGTTATCACAGAGAAAACACTGAAATAGAAATATAAAGTGATAATCAAAATAATTTTGCGTACATAACTATTTGTATTTTGAGACAACAGGTTTTTTTTTTATTATCTAAGGACAGATGATACAGGTATATATTTTTGGCCTAATTTCATTACAAATGATGCATACATGTATAATAAATTTCTAGAATATTAAGAAATTGTAAACCTCCTACATTGTTCAAAAGTCTGCTCTTCTGAAACCATCCTTATTTATCTATACAAATATTTTTCACTTCAAATTCCATTTTTTGTGAAAATTTGAATAAAAAATTAAAAACTATGCGGTGAAAGTTATTCGTTTTACTGTTCATACTCGAACCCATATATCATGGAAATAACAAAAATAATCTTTTTGTACAGTGAAATTATTTTTTCTTATTATCTGTTTCTTTGATACCAGGTGCACTAAACTAATTATACTACAAAGTATTGGCACATGTATATACAGTAAATGAATAATATGCATGTAAATATAAAGTCTGCCGATTAATATACATGTAATGTCAAAAGTACACATCATTTTCAAAAACCTGGGACTAGTTCAATAGTCTAAATGAAAACCAATTAATAAATACATATACATGCTGTGTTGAATTATAAATATTTAGGTTCTGTTAAAATACACTGAAAGAGGTGGTAACAGTAGGTAACATTATTCCCATTTATACGCTATGTCCCAATTTTTGCCTTTTTTAAGACATGCTGTAAGCTCATCATTGTGTGCTTGTGTGATGTTAAAACATGACATAAGACTTAAATGAGTTAATTCATTCTCAGTTTCTAAAAGCATTTTAAAAACACTGATATCATCAACAGCAGGACAATTAGTCAGTCCTAGATACTTCAAGTGTTTAAACCCATGCTGCTGATATGCTGCTTGTAAACCTGTTGATGTTATTCCCTTAATTTTTTCAAAGAATAACTTCTGTAGGTTTTCAGCTTGATACAAAAGAAATGTAACTTGTTGTTCTGAAGCTAAAATTAAGTTATCCAATGCTATTAGATTAACAGTTTCTAATTTTGTAAAACTCCTAGAATTGAGGCAAAGGTCATCAACTGCAGCTGTATCTTGCTGGAAAATGTCTTCCTCACAAATAATTAACAGATGTTTCAAATTTAAACAGAACATCCCAATTTCATTCAAAGGCATAAGGCCCGTGTTGCTAATACTCAATTCAGTCAACTGATTTCCTACGATCTGCAAAAACTTGACAAAACCCTTTAAATCATGACGTCCCATTTTTTCATTTGTATGAAAAAGTTTCAATTTTTTCATGCTTTTGAACGATGCTACTTTCTTCAGAATATCGGCTGTTATGACACCATAACACGTAACATCAGAGACACATGGGCAGTGTTCAGCCATCAAAGATGTGCTAGTAGTAAAGGGTACTGACATCTCTAAATTCAGTTTTTGGATTCCATACTTGCTCTCTGTTCTCCCACACAAAATGTCTTCTTCAATGACTTGGGCGACCCCATTGATGTTGATGTTCATATCCACCTCTTTCAATCCAGGATAGGCTCGCAGTAACTGATAGACTGATTGTTCTGTTGTGTTAGAATCTACCAGAGACACATACTGCAACTTTGGTGTTTTGCCAGCACACAGGAAGTGTATACCATCATCTGAAACATCTGGGCAACTACTAATGGAGAGTCTGTACAACTGAGGGCAATTTAAACCTGAAAAAAAATGCAACAGCATTAAAATATCAAGTATTAATATAAAGTTGTAAAGAGGGTTACATGTCCATGTCTGTCTACTTTTTTATTATAAATCCATAACAATGCTGTATACCAACTGATCTTGACTTGTTAAAAGGAAACTAATTGTCAGAAAATATATTACGAAATTGGAGGTAAAGGCTTAGCAGGTCATGTCCTACATCGTAACGTAAAGGAATGCATTGACACTGTTTTATGGGTCTGTTCCTTAATACAGTCAGAATATATGATTACTTGAATCAGCCCAAAACTTGAGCATGAAAAAGAAAAATAAAAGCTACAAACTATACAAATCTGTGTCAGAACAAAACATTAAACATGAAACACCAGAAATTCAATAGTAGAAAAACTAAAAAATTAAAATCTCAAATACAAAGCAGAAAATTTTTCTCTTCATGTAGGAAAATTTCCAACAGAATTTATATTAAAATTATACAAATTTCCCTTTAAAGTTTTATCTGCTTCTACAAAAAAATGTTACATCAGCAGCAGAAATGAGATCCTAAGAATCATTTTTGAATTGTTAAAACAACAAAACATTAGTATACAGAATTATATCACATAGATCATACTTATTATTTTCATCATGGCATCATTACACTTTGTACAGGATAGGTCCAGTTCTTTTACAGCTGGTAAATTCTCCACCACATTCATCAATAGATTATTGGAAATTTTGTTGAACTTCAAATGTAAGCTCTCTAATTTCTACAATGTCATAAATATGTTAACAAAACATCTGTATGGTGAATGGAAATGGAATTATGACCATATGTCCTAAGAATGGAAACATGTATGTACGGTAACCAACACCCAAGAACAAAAAGTTTGAAAATTGAATAAGAATAGTATTAAACATGTACCTACCAAACATTGTGCTAAAGTAAAAACAAACAAACATTGGAGTACATGAAGAATTTGAATATTATTGAAATGTCTTTTGAATTTTTGATGGACGTACCTGGGATTTAAGTGCAAGGGTTTTAACCAACTGGTTTGTAATGACATTTCCCCCGAGATATAAGTGTCGAAGTCTATCTGTGAACAGAATCTGTAAGTATTTTCCAATAAGAATGCCCTTCTTTTCCAATGTATTGATAATATCTTCAATCACTCCACTTGCTAAATTAAAGGAAGAACAGACAATATTATTTTTTTTTAATTGAGGTCAAAATTACTGGATATTTTCTAAATGATAAACTCATCCATTGTCTTTGAAAAAAGAAAAGAAGAGGTCCATCTGCTACTTTGCTCACCTTAGCAAGAAGGCTAGGTATAAAACGAAGAAAAAAAAAGTTTTGATAAGCATACACATTAGTGGTTCCAACCTACCCCTAAAAAAGAGGCCCATGGGCCACATCGCTCACCTGAGCACCAAGGGTAGAACTAGTATAAAATGGCTTTTTATTGTAAAGTTTAAATCCAAAAGTAGTCCCATGACCAATCATGGATTTGCTATTTTTTAGAAAATGATTTTTTTAAAGAATTTTCCTATATATTTCTATGTAAAACTTTGGTCGGCCATTTTGGCCCCGCCCTACCCCCGGGGGTCATGATTTGAACAAACTTGAATCTACACTACCTGAGCATGCTTCCATATAGATATGATGAATTATGGCTTTGTCATTCTTGAGAAGAAGATTTTTAAAGAATTTTCCTATATATTTCTATGTAAAACTTTGGTCGGCCATTTTGGCCCCGCCCTACCCCCGGGGGTCATGATTTGAACAAACTTGAATCTACACTACCTGAGCATGCTTCCATATAAATATGATGAATTATGGCTTTGTCATTCTTGAGAAGAAGATTTTTAAAGAATTTTCCTATATATTTCTATGTAAAACTTTGGTCGGCCATTTTGGCCCCGCCCTACCCCCGGGGGTCATGATTTGAACAAACTTGAATCTACACTACCTGAGCATGTTTCCATATAAATATGATGAATTATGGTTTTGTCATTCTTGAGAAGAAGATTTTTAAAGAATTTTCCTATATATTTCTATGTAAAACTTTGGTCGGCCATTTTGGCCTCGCCCTTACCCGGGGGGTCATGATTTGAACAAATTTGAATCTGCACTACATGAGCATGCTCCCATATAAATATGATGAATTATGGCTTTGTCATTCTTGAGAAGAAGATTTTTAAAGAATTTTCCTATATATTTCTATGTAAAACTTTGGTCGGCCATTTTGGCCCCGCCCTACCCCCGGGGGTCATGATTTGATCAAACTTGAATCTACACTACCTGAGGATGTTTCCCCATAAGTTTCATCTTTCCTGGCACAGTGGTTCTTGAGAAGAAGATTTTTAAAATATACCACTAAATTTTCATTAATTCCCAATTATCTCCCCTTGGAAAAGGGCGTGGCCCTTCATTTGGCCAAAATTGAATCCCCTTCACCCAAGGATACTTTGTGGCAAGTTTGGTTGAAATTGGCCCAGCGGTTCTTGAGAAGAAGTCGAAAATGTGAAAAGTTTACAGACAGACAGACGGACAGACGGACAGACAGACAGACAGACAGACGGACGCCGGACAAAATGTGATCAGAAAAGCTCACTTGAGCCTTCGGCTCAGGTGAGCTAAAAAGGGGTGGGTGTAATGATTTTTTTTGACTTACAGTGGCTGTTTTCCCTGTGTTTGAACTTTCACTTTGACCCCATTCTACCCTCTGTAGTTTTTCTATATTCATGTATTCCTATGAAAAATTTTGAACACCCATTCAGATTGTAACCATTGATTTCAATAAACTTGAATCTTCACAACCTGAGAATGCTTCCTTACGAATATGATAAATCAAGGCTTTGTTGTTCCTGAGATTTTTAGAGATTTTTCTATATATTCCTATGTTAAATGATGACCCAATGTGGCCCCAACCTACCCCAGGGGGTCATGATTTGAACAGAACCTGAATCTACACTACCTATGAATGCTTCCTTAATAATATGATCAATAATGGCTCTGTTGTATTTAAAAAGAATTTTTTTAAAGATTTTAATATATTCCATGAAAAATTTTTATAAAAGCCCAGTCCTACCCAAGAGGGTATTGATTTGATGCTTCTGTATTAGTTTCATCTTTCCCTTACCAGTAATTCTTCACAAGATTTTGAAAACATGGCCCTTTTCATCTGAACAAACTTGAATTATCCCTTTCACCCAAGGATGCTTTGTGGCAAGTTTGATTGATATCATATTGGATCTGTGGTTCTGGAGAATGGAGATGAAGTCAAAAATGTGAATAGTTTATAGACTGACAGACAGTCAGATGGACACTCAGATTGGGCAAAGACTGTATACAGTGGACCTTCAGATATCTGGACCCCAGATATCCGGATGCTTCAGTATCTGAACGCTTTTTCATCTGGACAGAATTTTTAAATGTTATATTGTTTTCTTTAACTAGTGGTTCAGGTATCCGGATGCTTCACATATCCGGACAAACTGACTTGGAACCAAAGCGTCCAGATAAATGAGGCTCCACTGAATCCCCAACACTTCACTTACAAGGACATAAAAAATACTTTGTTAATCATAACTGGTCTCCTTTATCATTTCATTGAGGAAGTAACGGTAATAATTGCTTAATTGCTTTACAAAGCCCCAAAACTTAAAGAATTTTGAGTACAACGTCTCAAGGAGGCTTATATGAGTGTTGTTTTTTTTTACATGCATCAATTTTAAAAGTTCAAAGTTGAATATCACTGCCTTTTCGTACATGCTGCGAAAATTAGTAAATACATTTAAGAAAAAAGGTCTGATAAAATAGCTAAATTAAGCTATTCTGAAAGGCTTAATAAACATATAGCTAAATTAAGCTATAGAGCTAAATCAAGAAATCAATAACGAAAGAGTTAGTAAGACTAAACTCTGAAACCTACGAAGAGTATCAAAAGGCCCAAGCACGTGTAAAACTTGTGTATCTCCGAAGTTCTCCACGAATTCTTTCCACCATATTCTTTTAAAATTTGAGGCAATATACAGAATACATAATTGTTTTAGACTTGCAGGTTGCCTCCTCTTCGGCATTGTTGACAACACTGCTCCAGAATGCCGAACCCGATATAAAATCTTAACCGGTTTATTTGGCCGTATTATATACTCTGATCTACTTTTCTCCAAAAATACAACACTTTAACCGTTATCCTGGTCTGTCCGTCCATCTGACACACTCTCTTCTTCCTCGATCAAAATACTCGTAGGTTTTGAGCTGTGGCCAACACATTTTTTGAACGATTGGTGGTTCCTTCAAACATGCAAAAAATTGAGATTTTCATTTTTACCTTGGGGTAAAGAAAAAACTGGATATTTTGGACTTTTTTCTACAATAAAATCCCCTGTTCTCTAACTCCTTTGACATTTCTTGCAGTATCAATTTCATTTTTTTTTTAAATATGATTAATATTTGGAGTGTCCTTTAATTGTACTGCATAACAACAAGTTTTGGAATTTCCATTTGATTTCACCCCTGGGGCCAGGTTAAAGATTCAAAATATACTGTTTTAACAAAACAAAAGCATGGTTCCTTGAGCTCCCCCTATATTTTCGCTGTAATTCAATTCATATTTAGGAACATGATTGGCAGTGTCCTGTATCAGATAAGCAATTTAACATGGACTTAAAATTTTAATTTTCACCTAAGAGAGGGAGCAATACTTGGTTCCAAGAAGACTTTTTTTTTCATTGTTGGGTTCTTCGTAGGAGCTTGTAAATATTTTGAAATATAAATGATCCTGTACGTGTACATTAAAATTTCGAAATTTCAGTTTAGCCGTGGGATCAAAATAATGAGCTTTTTCTTAAAAAAAAAAGAAAAACAACAAACAAACCTGATTTAAATGAACATGGACATAGTTCCAGCTGAAAACGTTCAAATCTATTTTCCATTTTTTAAAAATGTTTACCAATACTTAACTAAGGCATTTTTAATGATTGTATAAAAAAATGAATTTCAGTTGTCAGGATGCAAGACACCGTCTGATTTAGAGCTCGAATGAAGGCCCGTGCCATGTTTTTGTTAACATAGATTAAATATACTAATTGATACATGTACATGCTCATTGAAAGCAGATTTTTTCAATAAAGAATTTAATTCTAAATACAATTAGACAATTTCTGGTGATTTTCTGAATCTCGTTTGTTATAAATATGATATTTTCTACATGTAAACAACAACAACAAAGAGCCTTGTAAACTTACATTAGGAAGAATTGTGTAAGTTCTGTATCTCCTTTGTAAATAAACATATGATGTTCAAATTTTTCCTGAGCATTTCAATTGACAATGCTTTAATTAAGAATTGTAAACATTATAATTGGTTGAAAAAGAAACAGTTTAAACTGTGTCTATGTCCCTTTAAAACAAGATTTTTTTTTCTATAGCCATCTCTTCTTTTGGAATATGATTGGTAGTGTCATGTTGATGAGTAGTAAGATTTCCAAATTTTCATTTTTGGTTCAACTGGGAATCAAAACACTCATTTTTCTTACAAAAACTCTGGTTCGTTGAACTTCTCTTGTATTTTTGGCTGCAACCCATTCATATTTTGGAAAGTGATTGGTACAGTGTAATTATATCCGCCGATACAGGATTGTAATTACATGCTAAAAGGAAAAAAAAGAATTTGAACAATGTTTGTTTGGATGTCAAATGTGTCGATTTTCTACAAAACATGGTTCATTTGTATTTTTTTTCGTAGTAGTCCATTCATGTTTTGAAATAGGTTGGATTTACATGTATCAAGTACATGTGCAAGATGATTTAAAATTGTTGGTTTCTTATATATGTGCAATTAGGTTTCGGAATTTTCATTTTTCACTCTGACGCTCAAAAGTGAATCGAAGCATTTGTTTTTCTCCCAACAAATGCCTGGTTTATTGAACACATGTATGGACAATCTAGTTCTCTCAGCTAGCTCATCTTGCATTTTCCACAATAACCCATTCATATTTTGAATTGGGGGTGTACAAAAACCTAATCCCTAAACCCCTTTCATAACATTTATTGCAGTAGCCAATTTGTTACTGCCAACTCCTAAATCATCATTTTGATGGTGCTCTGCAGATGTGCAATGAGGTTTCAGAATATTGATTTTCACCCTGGAGGCAACATGGTGGTGTTTTTTTATTGTAAAAAAGACTTCGTTCACGGATAGAGCATGTCTTTTTTTATCTATGCATGGGTGCCCATAAAATGAAAAAAAAACAACTAGATTTTACACAAATCTAATCAAAATTTAACAAGTACCGGTAGATCAAGAAACTCGGTCTAATCCAAGTAGTTATACCGCTTTTTACTTATTCACTCAAACACTCCCTAGAATTTTTAGGTAGGCTGCTATTTGCATAATTGTCATCCAGCATAAAAAATCTACACATATACACACTGAATAATAATTATAATGATATTTTAGTTCGATCCTTTTTCGGTATCGTGGCTCAATACATGTAAAAGTTTCTGTCAATTGTCTCTGTAAAATATTTGCACGACATCTAACTCCATGGATGCTTTTTTTCTTTTTCGCGAATAATTAATAATTGCCTCTTTTTGGATTTCGTATTCATTCAAAATTTAATTGATCTCATTTCTTTATTTGTTTTATATTGATGAATGGTGGACGTTTTCTGAGAATTTGACTGAAGTTTAATCTTTGCAAGTGCTCTTTAAAATAAGTCCATTTTGGCTTCTTTAGAAACGCAATTTCTTCTTCCGATAGGGGGCGAGGCGAAGAGGGGAAACTGTAAAATTCCGTGATCCTCCTTTCGTGCAGGATATGGTAAAATGCTCCAATTCCAATGGTGGAAATAATGAGAATCAATAACCTAAACAAATAATGAGATTAATATAAATCGATATCAATATTAAAAAAACACTCAATTTTGGTATTTTCATATATTACAATGGTAACAACACTAGCAGATTTGACTTGTGTACACTGTAACAGGTTGAACAATTTCTTTTTTAAAAATATACTTGTAAGTACTACCGATATCAAGATATAGTGCGTATCTAACTGGTCTCTTACCACAATGATAGCAATGTTGGAGTATTCCTTCTAGTGTCTAACATTTCCTACTTTCTCTAGCTCATTCTTCATCCACCAGTCCCAATTCGATATGTTGTAATCATACTGTTTTCATCCCGTTTCATTACACAAAGGACATGATCGATTGCCTTTATTGTTTTTGTTTGGCCGACAGTCAAACGTTATCTCGGATTTAAATCTTCACATAGTTCTCTCACCGAACAGATTGTGTGGTTTTATACAAAACAAAATGCCGAGAACGGTAGGGTGAATTCACCATGCATCGGATACCCTTGTACTTCAATAAGTTCTAGCGATATTGTTACCGACGGAAACATTTATTTATCAAAATCGAACTGTGATTAAAATATAAATCTGGGACAAAATTATTTGCCTTTTATTGAGAAAATATCATTAAAAAACCCATTTTAAAAAAAATAACTCAGAATTCACCGTGGATCGGACATCATTTACCATGCATCGGACATATGTTATTTGAACCGAAGAAACGTCGTACAATAACTGTGTAGTTTTTGGAACTCAGGTGCTGTTGGAATTCTTATGGGCACCATTTGTGCCCGTTGTTATCAGATCTATTTTTTGTATTCGCACGAAGGAGAGTTTATTCCAAAAATTTCTACATGAGAAGAAGCAAAAAAACTTGCTGTGGTCTTTAGATACATTGAAGACGTTTTAACAGTTAACAATAGTTATGTCCATTCGTATATCTACTCAATAAATCGATCCGAGTAAGTTTGAAATAATTTAAGATAACTCTGAGTCTGACACATCTGTTTGATATTTTAGTATAAAAAGACGTTAATGGTATCAAGAAAGCCTAATGATAAACATGGACTTCAACTTTTAATAGCCAGCTTACATTATGCATGTAGCAATATACCCTTATCAGCTGCATAATGGGTGTATGTCTCTCAGCTAATTTCAATACGCAAGAGCATGAACAATTTTTAAACCAAGGCAAACTATTAACATACAAGTTGGTAAAACTAGGATATCAATAGACTCGTTTGAAGTCATTTTTTTCACAAATTTTTCACATATCTCTTATTGTTTGTGTTTGGATATTAATTAGTTTTTCCCAACATGTTGTCATAAAAAAACTTATATCCAACCATGCATGCACAAACCCTTGGAAAATGTTTTTCAGCAAAGAGCAAGAGCCACTTTGGGCTTTATTTGACCTGAGTATTTATGAAAAATCAAAACCGATCATGCAGTTTAGGTTGCAAATGCAGTATTTATCACTTGGAGTGTTGGTGACCACGTATCTGTTAATCGTGACGTAATTTCCCGTCTAGTCAATGCCTTATGGTGTCAAAAATGCGTCATTTTCCTCACATCCTGTAAATTCCTTTGAAAATGACCTAAAGGTGAAGCATTTTTTAAAAATTTGTTATAGAGCACAACCTCATCGTCTCAAGCCACGGTCCGGAGTCCGCATATAGCTCTCTCCAGAATGGGAGAGGATCGTACTTTTTGGCCGTGGTTTGCGACGATGGCACAACCGCTGATCCAAAATATGCAAATACACAATGAAAGCTCTCTATTTCTGAAGATCAAAAAACATGTTTTATTTTTTGGATCGTGGGCTGTGCTCATATTTTAATTCTTTGCTGAAGGTAGTCAAATACGCATGTTTTCTGTAAATTTCAAGAACATTGCAATTTCTTAAACCTGTCTTCCAATATCTGGATTCTCAAAACGAAATTTTATTATAGAAAATGAAAGAACCAACTGTCTACTTTATTTTGATATATGAAACGGGAAAGAGGGTGATAGTTAATTAATTGATATAAGTACAGGGCAATTTTATGCATAATGCTCTTGCTTTTTATATTGTTATTAATTATTTTCATGTTTAAAACTGTCTTTTTAGATGGCAGATCCAAAACCACAGCCGTGGTTAAAAGAACGATATCTTTGAGCTATACCCACTGTATAAACGAATGAACATGTCATACACTGTAAAAGTATTTTTGCATTTATGATCAATAAAATCAAAGCTGAAATACTGCCGACTCGGCAAAACCAATCGAAGTTAATACTTGATTAATATTTTATTAATCAAATCTGATATTTGTGCTTTGAATTTGATTTGTTTTCCAAAAAATAATCCAAATAAGTGAAAAATGGTTGATAATACTTTGAACCGTGCATATGATGTTTGTAATGTTTGACGGATCCGCCATACAAATTGAATGGAATTACTCGATGCAATCCGAAAGGCATATCGTATCCTGTGTGGTTTTCTACAAGAAGCCAAACAAAAAGCGGGACAAACAACATCCGTGTTAGAGGATGGCTTCTGTACAGTTTAAGTGCAAAGTTAGCGGACAAAACTAACACTATCCTTTCAACTACTGTCAGTTTGTTGGTCACGTGGGGATGCATGACGTCATGTTGATGATGCTGAGCATGAATTTTTCGGTAAAACCATGTATTCCTATGAAGAAACAAATGAATGATAAAGAATATAGCATCAAACGTCATTATAGAAGCAACAAGATCAAATATAACACGACCTAGTTCGGGTGGATCGACCGGAAGTGCCCTAGTATTTTGAATAAAAGATTGTTGTTTTAACTTCCATATACTTGGGTTTACGTTGTGGTATTTCTTGACCATGACTGAATCCAGAAACATGAACGGACCCATGTAAATCACAGAATCTTTCAACATCCCTGTAACAGTTTGATGAACATACGTCACGGATGGATGAATTTTGTACTTATCAAAAGCTGTTATTAAATGAATTGCAAATGGATAAACAGGAACGATCCATGCGAAAGAAAAAGTTGTCCACCATGTTTCAAAATAAACAGAGTTGAAAATCCAAGAATGTCGCAAAATTAGCCAAGAATTGTTTACCACACACTGAAGGTAATCATATTTGATCCAACTTATAACTGAGGCTAGGAGTATCAAAAGTCGGATTGTCCAAGTAACACACAAATCTGTGAAATTATCCAATTCTTTGTTAAGTTTGCATTCTGACTGGCTCTCTGCATTTGGAGTAATCTCGTTTGCACTCGCCAATGGCGGCTGCACGTCTGAGATCTTATGAGATCTGCCCATTTTGGAATTTCTAAAAATGAAGGAAGAAAAAGCGTTGAAACTGATATTCCACAAATTGAAGCTAGTCATTCTTAGTATCTACAAGTCAATTAAATTTTGCAATCACAATTTTCTTTCAATACGATAAAAGCCAGTTAATATCAAGTAAAGATAGAAAGGGACAGTTCCTCTTGGTCTGAATTCGCATGAAAAATTAATGAATAATTATGAACCGAGTGTTTATAATGTGCGCTTCTCTTGATCTCTGCTGTCCGACCGCGAGCTTAAATTAAGAAACACGTCCAAATTACAGCAGAAAAGTAGAGTTTCTTACAAATTCAGTCACATCAATCCCAAGATCCAGATCCAGAATTTAAGATCTAACTGTGGATTGTACGCATTAATGCCATGACAATTAGCAAATTTTGAAATGCTTATGACTTTGCAATACAGTCGATGTATTCAACAATGTTCAAGGGAATACATTATGACTTACAATGCACATTTAAATATTTGTGTATTTTAATTTCAGTGTCATGTCCTAAAAGTTAACCTCGACACACTGACTTTTCTATAATTGGATGCCTTCTTGCTTTATAATGAATACAACAACAATGCAAAAGCCTATACCTATATGTTACCTGCAGCAAATTATTGATTTTATTTACATACTAATGCAGCTTTCATTGGGGCCAGTGTATTGCATTGCAAGCAGTAGGTATTGGGAGTAGCACATCAAAGTGTTTAGCTGCACTTCACCTTTAATTAATTTCCGAGTTCAGTAACTCTTTATTCACGATGCATGGTGTAATTTTTATAGTATCTGAACTTATTTAATTGCACAGCTAATAAATTTTATTAAAATGGTAAATGCTTCAAAAACACGCTCAGTTTAATGAAGTATACTTGTATCACTTCAAGTGATAATAATTGAGTTGTACTGTGTATTTATCAATTTGACATCTTTCATGAACAAAAGTTAATGTTTGTTAAATATATTTATAAGTTACAGTTTGTTATATACAAAAATAATATGTATTTTTAAACATTTGCCGAATTAAGAGTCGATATCAAAATATATAATTTATATTTCTTTCAAGATAAATTGCTATATAATTTCACTTACAAATCAGTGTCCAAACTTTTCCAGCCAGAGAGGGAAACGATTACACTGAACTTAAGTACCCTATTAGGTATACACAAAGATGAATCAAAAGTTTCACCAAGGATCATTTCCTATTTAGGAGCACTTCAACCATGATGCATCAAAGTGCTTAAAATTATGCGTGATCTAATTTGGAGTAACTTTATCCTGTTTCCTACGCAGACACGTGTACATGTACCTAATGATGCTCAAGTCAACCTTTGCTTTCACACAGAAGGTGTATATTTGAAGGACATTCGTTGTATACCTTGATTAGAACCATCAACCTGTGTAAATTACACAGGTGAACCATCATCAGACACGTGGTTTTAATCAGCAGTAAAATCTTTTGTAGGAATAAAGTACATTGATAAATATTAGCCACAGTAAATGAACTGCAACACTTCAATAAAGTTTAAAATTGTGATTTTTTTTTCTCAAATTTTCCTCCTATGGTCAAGAAGGGGGGGGGGGGGAGTAATTAGTTACCAGGTTATTTAAAGACGATGACAAAAGAGGTCAAATTCAGGACAATTTTGATCGAGCCTACCAGAACTAAAGTTAAATATTATTTACAAAAAAGAAAAAAAAACCTGTTACAGTAAATTTATCAATTTGAACTTAACTCTAATGGATGTCCCCATAAAACTGTTTAACAGTATCGGATACGAACAATACATGTACGTGATAGGTTGCAACTGAAGACAATATAATATTTATTTCTCTGAACGTTCTTGACCTCTCACTCAACCGTGTATAAAATAAATTTAAGGAAGTTTTTGGGTCAACAAATTTATCATCAGATATAACTTAACGACGTTCGATCCTAATATTTAAAGTCTTAAACTTTTTTTGCCAAGTATATTTTAAGTTTCTACATACATAGCTTAATTAAAATTCAAATCAAAAAATGGGGGTCAATATGCTTCTTTTTGCGCTACAGTACATTTAATATGACCTTCTTGCACTGAAATTTGTGTCTTAATTAAAAATTACACCTTCGACGTTTTCCCTGCAATATCATCTTCGCTAGCCAAGGGTTTCTGATACGCTACTCTCCTCATAAACCCTTGGCATACGGTGAAGTCAAAAGACGGGATTGTTTTCCGTCACGTGATCTCGAATCTATAAGGTACACACAGATTGCGTCATCGCCAGAAATAAAGACACGTGTTAAAAAAAATCAAATCAAAGTTTTTTAAAGAATAGAATAGAATAGAATAGAATTTATTACCAATCAGGGCCCATTAGGCATAAACATATAACATATATAATTACATATAAACATAATATTAAAGTAATAGACAGAATACAACATGTGGTGAAGAGCAATTCTTCTATTAAGTATATATATATACTGATATATATGTTGGTGGCAATTTAAGTTTCATATACAGACATACATGTACATGATGGTTTGTTGTACAAAAAAAAAGTGTGCATAAGTATTATTCATGATATACATATATATGTAAATATATACATATCAAAATGCATAAAACTATGTTTGAAACATCAACAGGAGGCAGCAAGAGTCGGTGCTAAAGGATATACAGAATTCCACTTCTGCCTCATGTAGAATAAACAGACATAAAATTTATGGAGATAAACATATATTATATAAATAAATTATACATTGACACATGTGTTAATTAAACTAAACTACAATGGACAGCAAGAGTCAGTGCTGAAGGATAGTATATTGTTATTATACATGTATTAAAGTTATCCACTTCTGTCCAATGTAGAGTATATTATACAACACAAATATCAACAACACCTTTACATAGTGTAGCATAATTATCCAACCAAGGTACTTCAAATGATTTTGAATTTGTCGAACTATACATGACTTATGAATTCACACAATTTGAACAGCACATCAACATCTTCACAGTTCATTAACCATAAAAATTGGTTATTTTTTGACAAGCTATTAAAAAGATGACACCTCATAGATATCATGGATAGTAAATTTATTCTTGATTGACTATGGCATGGACAACTTAAAAGAAAATGTACTTCATCTTCTATCTCTTCTATTTTACAATTGGGGCATATTCTCTCTTCTCTTGGAATACCGTAATGTCTACCTTTTTCAATCATCAGATTGTGAGAAGATATTCTAAATTTTGTTAGAATCTTTCTTTTTTCAAACTTTCTTAAAATTAATAAATAAGGTTCTAGCCCAAAGTTCTGTTTAATTGTGCAATAGGTGTCCAATTTCCCACAATTACTTAATTCTTCCTTCTTTTGATACCATTTTTCAAGAAAATATGAATTTAGAATGCATTTACAATGATATTTAAATGTTGATGTAGATGATTTCAGATGAGGTGTTAACTGAGGAAGAAGTTGTTTAAACATATCAATAGAACCAAACCATGATAAATTGTTTTTATTGAAATTGGATACCGAGGTAGTATACGCAGCTTTTAATAGAGGATATGTGTCATCCAAATTCTCTAACCTATGCCAGTATTTCAATATATTCTGAACAATACTGAAACTCGTAGGGTGTCTACCTAGTTCTGAAAGGACTGCAAATTTTGTACTTTTGTTATTTACACCTAATAAAAATCTACAAAACTTGTAATGTAATTTCTCACAAAGTGACTTAGAAAATAATTCATCCAGTGCAATGGGTCCATTTCTAAATCGTGATGTAGTAGTATTAAAGGCCCCCCAAATTTCACTACCGTAAAGTAATATGGGTTTTATTGTATGATCATATACATGTAAAGCTGTGTTTATTTTAGGGTTCAATGATAGGAAATTTTTTTGTAATTTAAAAAATGCCTTTGAAGCTTTTTTGTAAAGTTCATCCTGAGCAAGTGTAAAACTTCCAGATGCAGTGAAATGTATGCCCAAGTATTTATAAGAAGTAACACATGCAAGAGGTTCTTTGTTTAGTGTGAAGTTTTCTTTCAAGTGTCTACCTGCTTTATTAAAGATTAATACTTTGGTTTTTGAAACATTTACATCAAGGCACCAGTCAGTACAGAACTTATCAAGACAATTAAGTTTTTGTTGAAGTCCTTTTGATGACTTGGACAAAAAAAGTATATCATCTGCATACATTAGACAATGAAGTAATTTATCGTGTAACTGAATATTATCATCAGTTATATTATTGAAGTATTCTGGAAGATTATTGATAAAAATTTTGAATAAATTTGGACTTAAATTGTCTCCCTGTTTAACTCCTAACTTAATAGGGAAAGTCTCAGTGACTTGATTGTTTAACTTAATGCATGATCTACTACAATTGTACATACTCTTAATTACATTGTAAAATTTAGATCCAACACCAATTTCTAGCAGTTTAATTTTGATGCCTTCATGTATTACTGTGTCAAATGCTTTTCTAAAGTCAATGAAACATGCATAGAGTCGTCCTTCTTTCTGAGAGCAATATGTTTCAAATAAAGTTCTTAAAATAAACATGTGATCAGATGTTCTTGCCTTTTTACAGAAACCAATTTGACAATCATTAATAATTTTGTTTTTTTCTAGATATTTATCAAGTCTTTTATTCAAAATACTGTTAAATAATTTACCAATTGCACTAGTGATGGTAATGCCACGATAATTGTTTGGATTATTGATATCCCCTGACTTATGCAGAACAGTAATGTATCCCTCGGCCCATGATTTGGGATAAAGTCCATGTGATAAGCAAGCATTGAAAATATTTCTTAAAGATGGTAGTAGAGCATTGTGACCGTATTTAATCATATGATTGGAAATGTTGTCTAGTCCAGGAGATTTATCATATTTAATACAAGAAATTGCCTCTGATATTTCCGAAGAACTTATTGTATAGTCTAATTCGTTAAAACATTGTTTATTTTCCATTTGAGAAATTTTCGTTTTCAATTCATTTAGCCTGTCAAAATATGACTCTCTCACTTCATTTAATTTTGTAAAATGATCTAGCCATCTATCAGGATGAATAGTTGTATCTACTGCATTATTTTTGTCAAGAAGATGGTTCACAAGGTTCCAGTAAAGTTTGGGATTATCCTCATTTAAAGCATCAAGTCTTGCAATGAGGGACTGCTGATATTGTATTCGTTTGTGTTTACATAATTTCGCATACTGTTTTCTGAGTTTAAAAAATCTGCCTCTAATAATTGGATCTTTTGGGAATTGAGACATAACTCTAGCGATATTAATTAATCTATTTTTTGTGTGTTTTAGATCTCCATCAAACCACTTCTTATTTTTATTTCTTTGTGCTGCTTTAGTTTTATCTTTTTCTGCTTTAGTTTTATTTCTTTTTAAGGATCTAGTGGCAGCATTAATAATAATAGTCTGGAGTTTGTCTACAGCAGTATTTACAGAGGATAATGAGTTCTGAACCTCCAAATTTGCCAAATCAGACAGTTCTTTCTGTATGTCTACAGAGGTTAAAGCTTCTTGAAATTTAAATGCTGAGTCTTCTGACCATATAAAACGTGGATTTATAAATTGCATCTTACACATATCTTGATTATTATCTACTAGATTTGTAAAATTGGCAGACATTTCCCAATGTAATAAGCAGTGACAGTCAGATAGTGTAGGATCAAAATCATTTACTCTGAAGTACAAAATCTGATCCAAAATGCTTTCAGAGATGATAACATAGTCAACCACACTAGAACCATTAGGGGTATAACAAGTAGGTTTTCCAAAAATATCTCCAAATGTTCTACCATTCACTATTCTCATATTTTGGCTGATACAAAGTTCAATAAGTTCTTTGCCACGATTATCTACTTTGTCATCTTGACTTTTTCTACGTCTGATTTCTTTATCAATATTATATTGGTCATATAGGGGCACATATGCACTATCATCACAAGAAATAAAATCAAGGTTATTTGATGTTCTAGCATTGAAGTCGCCACAGATTAATATCTTACCTAGTTTACTATATTGTATCAATTCTTTTTCTAAACATTCAATTATATTGTAATTCAGTCCAAGAGTATAAGATGACGTACTAGGTGGATCATATACAACACATATGAATAAATTTTCTTGGAGACCAAAATAATTTTTGTCTAGTTGAAGCCACTGAAAGTCATTAGATGTGTTATTGAGGATTTTTATGTGTGGTTTAATATGATTTTTACATAAAATACCTAATCCACCAAAATGTCTATTGTTATGTTTACTCACTGGTCTACATACAGTATGCAAGTAAAAATCACCAA